TGTTTTTGTAATTGCTGAAATATTTTAGAAAAAAAGGATCTATGGGAAAGTGTTTTTGTAATTGCTGAAATATTTTAGAAAAAAAGGATCTATGGGAAAGTGTTTTTGTAATTGCTGAAATATTTTAGAAAAAAAGGATCTATGGGAAAGTGTTTTTGTAATTGCTGAAATATTTTAGAAAAAAAGGATCTATGGGAAAGTGTTTTTGTAATTGCTGAAATATTTTAGAAAAAAAGGATCTATGGGAAAGTGTTTTTGTAATTGCTGAAATATTTTACTATATATTTTACAATATATTTTAATATTTATTCAAAACTTTTCTTTAATTTATTGATTATATACAAAAAAGATATTTGCAAAATATTTTTATAATAAAATCTTGATATTTTTTAACACAATTTGAAGTATAATTTCAAAAATTATTTTTACCTTTCTTTTATTTTTTATAAACTTGTTTACTTAAAAATTTGATTTTTAGTAATCAAGAAAATTCTAGTAAAACCTTTGAAATCAATGATAAAAAAGTTTTTAAAGAATTAATAACCAATTATAAAGTATTTAAAATCTGTTTGATCTTTAAATTAAAATATTTTTAGATATTTAATTTAGTTAAGAGGCTCATTTTTTTATTTTGAACTATTTGGGCTTTTTTAAAGATTCTATTATATTTTTCTAAAAAAATTTGACTATATTGATTTGATTCTAGATTATAATATTAAAAAACAATATAAAAAGCAATGCAAATAGTCTAATTTCATTTTTTATCTAAGTTTCTCAAGTAGAAAAAAAGTTTTTTTTTAAAAAAAAAAAGTTGAGATTTTTTATTTTTCTTAAAATATTTCAATTTTAATACTTGTTTAAATAATAGATCTATTTATAATGCTATAGATAATAACAAAAAAATCTCTTCTTATATTTAAGTAAAGCATAAAAATATTTCAATTGGGCAAAATTCTTTTGAAAAAAGGGTATTGATTAAATAAAAATATTTTAGAGATGTTTTTAATTGTTTTCATTTTTTATCTTTTCAGTTATTTTAGTAATTTATTATTTTTTGAAATAATCAATAGTGATAAACTGTTATTAATAATTCCAACCATTTAGAGATCCTAATACAAACTATAGAAAAAATATAATATTGTTCCTTAAATCTAATTTAGAATATTTATTAAGACTTAGTTTTGTTTAGTCTAAATTAGCTTAGCAAAAACCTTATATATTTTAAGTAGTGTAGTCTTTTAACCAATAATATATACTGATAAGTTAGTCACTTTGTGAAAGTTTGTAAAATATTTTGATATCTTTTTAATATTTTAATATATTATAGTAGCACAATTGCAGTTTAAAAAAAATTGGTATTTATTTTAGTTTTAAAAATATATGTAATCAATTCTTTGCTTCATTATATATATACAATTATTATATATTCTCCACTATATTTATAGAGTAATATAATTAGATTGAAGTAAAATTTTTAAAATTTTCAGTATTATTTATATCTATCAGATCAAATCAATTAACTTAGTTCTACCTGAGAAAATAATATATCTCTAATTATAAATTGTCCAATATTCATTTGTTTTGCAAACTTTAACCATTAATTTTTATATTTTAGATTGAAATATGTATTTTTTTCCTTAATAGCAAATGTTAATATATATTAAACTGTTTGTGCTGAAACATTAATATCTTATAATTTTTAGATTTCTTTAAACTTCTACAGTAGTAATAAAATGTCGAGAAGGAATAACATATATACAGCAAATTTTTAATATTAATTCTTAGAGTGAGAATGATTTATTTTTGTTATTGAATATCAAATCAAATATACTTATAAATCCTTGATGCAATATTATAGTCAATTTTAAGTCTAAAAACAATTTTTCTTGTAGAAAAGCCATTATTAATTAAAAAAATAATATTGATATGCTTTTATTCTAATAAAGATTTCGTCAAAAAAATAGTAACCTGACAGTATAAAAGATTGTAGATTATATAGTTTTTACAAATTAGCATTACTAAACATTTATTAATTAAATTACTGATGTATTATAAAAAGCAAAAAATTTATATCAATAAACTTGCTCAATTTAGCTGTATATTATGCACTTGAATAATGACATAGATACAATGGCATTGACTTTACTTAACTAAGTGATAAACTATTTAGTATTGATACTCATTTTATTTAATGATGATGATATAAAAAATTACAAACAATAAACGAATAAAAGTATACGTTGATACAATTTTTCTAGTCTGTATAATTTCCAAATTGTGTATTGGTTATAATCGAAATGCGCATTAATTTAGCTTGATTTAAAAAATTGCACAAGACAATTAATCAAAATTTTTAGCTAGATGGCCATAATCTCGTTGCCAATTTTCTGGTAACTCATCTTCAATATCATACATTTTGCATAATTCGTTCCTTAAATGCAGCCACATGACTCTGACCTGTCTTATTTGGTCATCATCGGAATTTTTACTTCCTAAAAGAGTCCACCATTCTGGGTGATACTTTTTCACATACTCCTTAAATTGGAGCCCATCATCTCCGTTTCTATGTAAACGATAATTGTGACAATCAAGTTCATTACATGTCATTAAGCTTGCTTTTCTGGATTCGTTGTATCGAAGACCGTTATAACTGTGCATCAAATGAAATGATGCTCTATGGTTTGTGTTGGGTTCATGTTTTAATTCGCATTTTGAGCTAGAATTTGGAAAAATAAATTAATAAATTATTTTCGAGTAATATTGTTATTTATAATTATACATACCCACAAAATGGACACCTGTGTTCGCATCCTTTGACATCATCCCAATAAACCTCCTTATACAATTCTACATAATTTTCCATTTGCATTTTGCTATTATTTGAGCGTTCACTTCTCCACAACTTCTCGAATTTTGCCATGTAATTTATATGATCCTTTTTTAGCATGATACAAAAATCTTGCGGAGAACTGATATTGCATTCTCCTAGAATGCGTATTGCATCTTCCATTAAACTCTCTGGACATATTTCTGGACGTGTCGTTTTGAAAAGCATACGAATTAATGGAAGAAAAATGTTTCCCTTGGAAGGTGTTTCCTTAGTGATTTGTTTAAGAGGTAGATTTTTGTCTGATGAAGATAAGCGTCTTTGCCAAGTTGATATGTTTTCACCTAGTTTTTCTAAAGCTCCACTAATAACATTTCCTGTCTCTTTTAGTATTTCTTCTATTTTTTTATTTTTAACAGCATCAATATCTCTTTCAAATAAATTTCTCATAAATAATGTTGAATTTTTAACATATTCGTGAGATTTTTTAACATCATACGCGCCAAAGCTTTGTTCATAAGCACGGCGGGTAGGATTTTTGTCAACACTCGACCAATTTTCTTTTACATATGTTTTCATAACCTCCAAGATTAATTGCTCCCGTGCATCAAGATTTTCATCCACAGATTGTGCAATACATTGAAAAAAATGAGCAGAAATAATTTCATCCGAAGAATTATTCAAAATGTCATTGAAGTATTTAAACAAATCTTTGCGGAGTTTTTTATGATTAAATTTTTGAGAAGACTTCCATTTTTCAGTGTTATCCACAAGCGTATTAAAAACTTTAAGCCGCATATATTGCTTTAAAAGAAATAAATTGTGAATTAATAAGTATTATTATCTAACATTAAGTATTAAAATTTTACCTCGATTGGACTAAAATCATCAATTTCAATTGTAAAACTACACGTCATTATATGTATCGAATCGTTGTTTAAAGTATGATAAATTTTATCGCTTAATGTTCCCAGCCAATCTGGGGCCTGATCGAATTTTATTGAAAGAGCATTCACACGCTGAAGTTCATGGCATATCTTTGTGCACAATGCCTCAATTTTGTCCTTAAGGTTTCTTATGAAAACTTTTTTAAACGACTCTTCTGTATGATCTGCATTTTCAATACGAAATAATAATTTTATACGTGACATGTTGGTTCTAGATACTTTAACAATATTTGAAAATTGTGCATCATTCAAAAAATCCAGATTGTTTAAGGTTCCTGGCATTGCAAGTTTATTCCAAAATTTTCTTTTAAACTTTTTTGTTTTCTCTGAGTCACTTGTGTCACTGCTTATTGCACGTCCATTTTTTATGGCATTATTAAATGAGTTGACTACAAGTTGTTCTAGTTTTTCAATTTTCATCGTCATTACACGTAAAAAATCTTCTTGATCTTTTTCAATCTCCTTCCATTCTTCATTAAACAATTCTTCCCGTTTTTCTTCAGAGATTTTCTCTTTATTCTCGTTAAAAATTCTTCCGACTATTTCACCAAATTTTATTTTAGCTGAGTCTATTAGCCATGACTCCTTATATTGTCGCTGTCTTTTTGCATAGATTGTTTTTAGTTCTTTTCATTCATTTTGCAGAAATTTAGAAGTCAAAAGT